GCGGCACCGCTCCCAAAATCCCGGCCAGAGGGGCAGATCGCGTTCGGAATTTGTTCTGCCCCCCTGGGCGTATAATCACTGGTTCGCAGGAATTTGAAATTCCTGCGAACCCACAGTGAGCACTATCTCCAAAACGCCCCTCTTCAAACAATGACAGAACCTCTAACGTAAACTATGTACCAAAATCCAATGTACAGAAGAACCGTCACGATTTTCCTGAGCGGCGCCTGGGTGGGATCTTGGGGGGGAGCTCTACACTCCCCAGCACTTGCGTCACCTATGAACACGAATCCCTCCGCGTCCAGGGAGTGGCTAACGGGGGCCACAGACAGAATGCCGGAGTGGCCCTTATCCGTTGCCCCTCCTCGTAAGTTCCGCCCCGAAGGCGTTTCTGCAAGGCCGTCCCCACGCGGCCGCGCAGCTGCCGGATGACCGCCTTGATCAAGGCACCCCCGCGGCCGAACCTGAAATACACCTCCACTTTGGTCGCCGCGCTGGCAAGCCAAGCCGTCTTCTGCGCTATGCGGCCCAGGGGCATCGGGAATTCGGCAGAAAGAAGCGTCGGGAGACCCCCAGAAACCTCCAGAGAAGCAACGAGGGAGACAGCACAGGGCGGCGGTGAGGAGGATGCATGGAGGGAGGGTGGTAATCATTCTGATTACGATCAGGAGGCGTAGCGGGGTGACCGCGAGGGAAGGGGGGTGAGTAACGGCGCGAACGGACGCAGGGGTATGGGGAGGAATACAGAGGAAGAGGGAAAGGGGGGAAGATGCTGAGTTTAGATGAGGTGGAATGAACAAGAAGATGACATCGATAGTTCCCTTGGATACGGTGCGACGGACGCTGGGACCTACTTTACGTGGAGGTGCTTGCGAAAACCCGAGCTAAACACACGGCAAACACAACGACTGTTAGCGACGGAAGCCTAGGCCTCGCCACAACGGACCAGGCAACCAGGCTCATATCGCTGACATCTATAAGTAAGAGGAGGGAGAGGAGGAGGAAATTAATGATGAGGAGGAGGAGAAGATGGAGGAGGAGGGGGAGGAAGAGCAGGAGCAGGACGAGGAGGAGAAGATGGAGGAGAAGGAGGAGGAGGAGGACGAGGAGGAGGAGGACATGGAGGAGGAGAAGAAATCCCACCAGCCCTTTAGGGCATCGGTGGTTTAACGAGTTTCCTCTTCCACCCCTCCTTCTTCCCCTTCGGGGAGGGGTCTACCCCTCCCCCTACCCCCTCCCCACTGACCTGGACAGGGGGGGCGGGGAGCGGTCAGAGCGTCCAAAACGGCCTCGCCGAGGAAGCCAAAATCATTGAGTTTACTAGGTTTTGGCCCCATTTTGGCCTTCTGAGGCTAATTGAAGCTCCCCTCTTCTTTGATCGATTTCCTCCAATATGGCCCCAAGAAGCACCCAGGAGGCACCAAGAGGCCCCAAGATGGCCCAAGATGGCCCCAAGAGGCCCCCAGGAGGCCCCCAAGAGGATCCCAAATGGCCCGAAGAGGCCCCCCCGAGGCACCCAAGACGCCGAAAAGCCCCTCAGGACGACCCTCTACTCGCCTGGGCGTCGTTTCTGGACGGGCTGGTGGGGATACGCGAAGCGTCTAGAATTCCTGGGATGTCGCGCGGAGCTCGGACGACTGAGTCGAAAGGGCGGCCTTAGGTTGCCTCAGGCTGCCGCGGCGGCACCGGCCCTCGCCTGGGCCTTGATGGTAACTGGGCAGCAGGGAGGACGATTGACCTCGTGGCCGAGAGGGCCTCAAAAAACCAAGCCAGTGAAAGGCTGCCCCTGTCTCGCCCTGAGATCAGGCGTCAAGAATACCGCTGCAACATCGCAAACACACTCGACTGGAACCCTGGACACCTTGCTGCCACGGCATTGAAAGCTGGATCGATCCGTGAGGGTCCTGGGGACTGAGGCAAGGCAAAATCGCCCGCTATGAGAAAAAAGGCAGCGCCAGGAGGAGGAGGGTGAGGAGGAGAAGGAGATGGAAGAGGAGATGAAGGAGGAAGAGGAGGAGGAAGAGGAGGAGGAGGAGGAGGAGGAGGAAAAGGAGGAGGAGGAGGAGGATGAGGAGTTAACGAAAAGTGCTCCTTTCTTCGTGCCCCTCGACCCTTTCCTTGAGCTCCAGAGGGGTCGCGATTACGTTCATTAGGGTACCTACCCTCCCACTCATAGAAACTGGTGTGCGCGGCACCCTCTCTCGCAGTACACATCAGTTGGAAGGAATTTCTATTATGTTCTCCCCTGGGTGTGCGCGGCACCGTAACTCTCGCTGACAGTCGTTTCCTTTTTTCGCGGCTGGATTGTGCGCAGCACCATAACTCTCGCAGTACCCAGGGGAAGGTATCTTTTTCGCCGCCGTGAGGTGGTAGTACCCTGGAGAATGCCAGCCCTACAAACATGCACGCGTGTTGGTGTCGTTTTCCCCCTCCTACCGTGGTTGTGATCAGCCGAAGCGTCGTTATCACCTACCACGTGTACGGGCTCGACTCCCACGCAGGCCTGGGCATTTAAAGGGGCTCACCTTGACGAGGGACTGGGCTTTCTAATTGCATGGGGGGGACGACTCGTTTCACCTCAAGGAGGCTCGCCCGCTGCCGCGATCGCTGCCTCTTCTCTAATCATCTCTGCTGTCGGTCTCGTCTCACGCTCTGTATGGGATCCAGACTCATTCTCCCTAAGTCAACGACCGACCGAGAAGAAGGAGGAGGAGGAGGAGGAGGAGGAGGAGGAGGGAGGAGGGAGGAGGAGACACTCCTGGGCGGGCGAGACGACCCGCCATCGCGGGCTGGAGGGCCTGGCAGGCCGGCGCTGGCCGGCCAGCGGGGGCCCTGGGCCTCCCGCGAGCGCCCTGCTGCCCTCGAGGTGCGGGCACGCGGCCTCTCGACCCCCTTGGCTGGCTCGACGGCCCCCGGAGGCGGGCGGGGGAGGAGCAGCTCAGCTATGCAGGGCAGTGTTCAATACATCGGATGTTTCAAAACATAGGATTTTTAATGCATGATCAATGCATGAACAAAATTATGCATGAACTCCTCGTTGTTTTTAATACTGCATCCTTGCATTTTTGATACATGATCCGCACGCGGAGCATGTAATAAAAACGGCACTGTACTTTCCAGAGGTCTTGCGATCCGCTCGGGGCCCCTCGGCTCGGCAGCGGCCCCCTCTCAGGCGGAGAAGGGGGGCAGCGGCTCGGCCTTCGCCGTTCCTCGGCGTCGCGCGCCACTCGGGGGCCGGCGTGCCAGAAGCGGTGCCCAGAGGCGGGACGAGTGGAGCAGCAGCTCGGCTACCCCTGCGCTCTGGTCTTGCGATCCGCTCGGGCTCCGCGGGGCGACGAGGCCCGGAGGCGACGGGAGGGCCCGAAGAACAGAAGCGACGGGCCGAGAGCGACTGGCGGCCCGGCGGGGGCCCGGAGGGACCGACGCGGCCGAGCGAAGCGCCGGAGGCCACGGCTGCGCCGCTCGCCAAAGGAGGGTCTGGGCGCCGCCCTCGCCGTGGGGGCGCCGCGCGGCGCTGCGCCGGGAGACGAGGGCGCGGGCGCGGGGCACGAGCTGCCGCGCCTGGGGTCTGGCCATGAGGAAGGGCGAGAAGGGGGCACGGAGGCTCGGTCTGGGTAGGGGAACAAAAAGTGGCATAAACATGACAACTCGGAGGTCCGCGCGGATTTCTCGGATCGGCGCTGGACCCCCCCGGCGGCGCCTCCGGCGCCGCCCCTAACGCGCTCCGCGCGCCAGGGAGGGGGGTCCAGCGCCGATCCGAGAAACCCGCGCGGACCTCCGAGTTTTTATGTTTATGTCACTTTTTGTTCGCCTACTGGGGGCCTTCCCGGGGCCACTCGCTCCACTCGCGCGCCGAAGCTGCGTCGGCGAACGCCCGTCGACTGGAGTCGACTGTGAGCCGAGCTTGTGCCGAACCCGAGTTGAGCTGGAGCCGAGCAGAGTCGTTGGTGCGAGGCGGGGATTTTTTCGCAACCGTCGCCAAGGGATCGACCTTCGGGGACCTTGGCAGGCCGTGGGTATGCACATATGTGGCCGCCCAGGGGCCCGAATCTATCCATATCCACGCCTGCCGAGGCCTCCGAAGAACTATTTTCCTCGCGGCGGTCATGGACAAAGTCACGCCTCGGAGTTGGGTGGGCCCCGGGGAGGTTCCCGAATCGAGCAATTGAGGGAACAGGGCGGCAGGGAGAGCCGTTCGGCCAGCCATGGGGCCGCGGGCGCATCCCGTTGCGCGCGCGCGCCAGGGAGTGGCAGGGCCGATGGCCGGCACTGGCACACGTCCCCTCATATGGTACTCAGATGTGTTCTGAGGCTAACTGCGTCCATGCGTTCTCTGTTGGGCCACCGCCCTTGCATGGTATACCACACACTCGCACACTTGAATCTTAACCGCTGCCAATGCGCTGTCAGGGGCGCGGCTGTGCATGTTGCCTGGGCCCGGGGCACACGAAGACGTCAGAGCACCCCGACCCCCACCTGACCCCCCTCCCCTCCCCCGAGGGGAGGGGTACGCGAGATGACACATCTACACCTTACGCGGTAGCTTGCGAGGGCCGCTGGCGCTGCACGCCACATTGGAGACGACCCAGTTCTCTTTGCGTCGCTCAGGTGGGGGATGGGTTCTCGCTTCGCGCCGCTGCTGCGAAGCATCCTCGCCGTCAGCCTTCGAAGCTCTCTGGCCCAGCCCCAGAGGGAGGGAGGCCCTGTGGGGTGGGAGTTGCCCTCTTACCCAAATGCGAAACGCCCAGAGATCCGACGACACAAATAAAAACGCAAGATGGTGAAACAAACAACGAGAGGAGGAGGAGGAGGAGGAGGAGGAGGAGGAGGAGGAGGAGGAGGAGGAGGAGGAGGAGGGAGGAGGAGGAGGAGGAGGAGGAGGAGGAGGAGGAGGAGGAAGCGGAGGAGAAGGAGGAGATGAGGAGGAGGAGGAGGCGGAGAGGAGGAAGAGGGAAGAGGGAGAGGGAGAGGAAGAGGGAAGAGGAGGAGAGGAGAGGAGGAGGAGGGGAGGAGGAGAGAGGAGGAGGAGGTGAAGGAGGAGTGGGGAAAGGAGAAGGAGGAGAGATGGAAGAGAAGGAGTAGGAGGGGAAGATGGAGGAGGAGGAGGAGGAGGAGGAGAGGGAGGGGGAAGAGGCGGAGGAAAAGAAGAGGAGGAGGAGGATGAGGAGAAGATGAAAGAGGAGGAGTAGGAGGAGAATATTGAGGAGGAGGAGGAGATGGAGGAGGAGATAGAGGAGGAGGAGGAGGAGGAGGAGGAGGAGGAGGAGGAGGAGGAGAGGCCTGACATCCCCGCGTCGCTATCAAATCACGGTCGACGTTTTTGTTGGCCTTTGTCGGCTCCGACGGGCCCTGGCTGGGCCCTGGGAATGCGAAACACGACCCGGGATGTGAAGCTGGCCCTAGAGGAAGGGTCGGCACTTCTAGCGACTCCGCATTGAAAACATGGAACCAGCGGATGCCGGGGCTCTCGCTGTCGGACCCAGACCACGGCGCGCGACGCGCGGTCGTCGTCACGCACCTGGGGGTAACCCGGCAGCTGGCAGCAGGAGTGGGCGAGCCGTGGGGGGGCGGTCAATTCATCTCGTCGCTCATTCCCCAACCTCCCGACCATGGTTGCACCACCCCCTTCTCCCTCCTGCCCATCCCCCTTCCCCGTCCATCTCCTCTCCTGGTCCGGCCCTCGTCCTGGCCAGCGCTAGTCCCCCACTCCCCCCGCCTCTGCTCCTCCTCCCTCCTCCTACTCCTCCTCCTCCTCCTCCTCCTCCTCCTCCTCCTCCTCCTCCCCCTACCCCTCCCCCTCCCCCTCCCCCCTCCCCCTCCACCCTCCCCTCCTCCTCTCTCCTCCTCCTCCTCCTCCTCCTCCTCCTTCCTCCTCCTCCTCCTCCTCCTCCCCTCCTCCTCTCCTCCTCTCCTCCCCCTCCTCCTCCTCCTCCTCCTCGCCTCCCCTCCGCCTCCTCACTCCTCCTCCTCCTCCTCACACACCACCACCACCACTCACCTCCGCGTTAGTCCTCCAACACAGGAAGGAAAAGCACAAGAGTGTAAAGGATGAAGCCCGCGCCCCTTCGGACCCCACGCCTGGGGCACCTCCACGAACTTCTGCGCCACGGTGTGGACCGGGATCTCCCTCGCGGGGCGGGGAGAGGATGGAGAAGGAATCGAGGGGGTGTCGCATACTGTGCGGCGTATCGGAAGGGAGTCTCCTCCTCCTCCTCCTCCTCCTCCTCCTCCTCCTTCCTCCTCCTCCTCTCCTCTTTCCTCCTTCCTCCTCTCTTCCTTCTCCTCCTCCTCCTCTCCTCTCCTCCTCCTCCCCTCCTCCCTCCCTCCTCCTCCCCTCCTCTCCTCCTCCTCCTCCTCCTCCTCCGTCCTCCTCCTCCCTCTCCTCCTCCTCCTCCTCCTCCTCCTCTTCCTCCTCCTCCTCCTCCTGCTCCTCCCCCACGTTCCTCATCACTCCCTCACGTCCTCCTCCTCGTCCGCCCCCTTCGCGCCTCTCCTCTCTTCACATCCTGCAAGGGGCGGGAGGAGGACGCGGAAAGGGGAGTGGAGGAGGAAGGGCATGGGCGGAGGGAGGGAAGGAAATAGAGGTGGGCCCACAGGACCACACTCAAAAGCCTTCAGAAGCTTCCTGCTCTCCCTGGCCCTCTCCCCTCCCTCCCTCCCTCCCCTCACTCCCTGCCTCCATCCCTGTTCAACGTCCTCATCCACCACACCTTTAAGGATCGCGAACGATCCGGTGGCAAGCCACGGCGTGAGAGGAGGGCGATAGGGTGGGGCGGCTGAGGAGGGGGGGTCCTCCCCCTCTTTGTGCTGTTAGGTCAACTAGGATCGACTGGGATCGCAGCATTCGGCTGCCCGATCAAACCTGTGAAGTCAAACTAACTCGAAGGTCCCAGCACGCAGCGTTGAATAGAATTGCTCTGCAAAGACTACGACACCACCCCACCTGCGACCCCGCGATGATGGAACTGGGAGGCTGCCCCGTGCAGTCTCGGCTTTTTTATCACGAAGACCCAGCATGCTCTACGCATACCCTGCGAATGCTCTGCGCCCTTGCAGGCTGGGGCGTAGAAGATGCGTGCCGTGCGCCCTCCCCTCGTCCTCCTCCTCGTCGTCCTTCCTCGTCGTCCTTCCTCGACGCCTCGTCTTCGCCATCCGTCCTTCCTCGACGCCTCGTCCTTCCTCGACGCCTCGTCGTCCTTCCTCGTCGTCCTTCCTCGTCGTCCTCCTCCTCCACGTGCTCCTGGTCGTCCTTCCTCGACGCCTCGGCCTCGCCCCCGCCCCCCCCCCCCCCCCCCCCCGCCGCCCTCCCGCCTCCGTCCGCGCCCGGCCTCCGCGCTCCGCCGTCCCCTTGTACGCCCTCCCTCGTCATCCTGCTCTGCTACCTCCACCTCCTCCTGACTCCTCCTCCTCCTCCTCCTCCTCCTCGTCGACACCTCCCGCCCCTCCCCCGTAACCTTCTCAAACCCCATCCGCCGCCTCCCCCATCTCCCTCTTCGCCCGTGTCATCATCCACCTCCTCATCCCCTCCTCCCTCCTCCACCTCCGACCACCTGTTCCGCCCTTCCTCGCACTCCTCCTCGTCTTCCTGCCCCCGCTCCCCCATCCCCCACTTCCCAGCCAACACTGCGAGGGGAGGTCGCCTGTGCCTCTGGACAGGCACGTGGACATGCTGGTCGATGAACTCGATCTGCGGGACCTCCACAGGGGGCATGATGCTGCAGAGACCCATGCCCAGCGGGCACGCACAAGGGAAGGGGGCTGCCAGGGAAAGAGTCAAAAATCACAAAGCACAATCAAAAATTGTAGAAACATCGTCCCCCGACTACTCGTGGACTATTTTTGAGTATTCCTCCTGTCGAGGGTTATGTCGGGCCTGTCCCCCTACAGGGGTATTTCAACGAAAAAAAAGACCCCCAAAATACCCCAAAAAGGTAAAAAAAAAAAAAAAAAAAAAAAAAAAAAAAAAACTCAAAAATAATCCCCAGATTATTTTTGGATTATTTTTGATTTTTCGTCGAACATCCCCCCTGTAGGGGGGCAGGCCCGACATAAGTCGAGGGACGTGCCCGACTTCAAACCTTGGCATGAAAAGAGGCGGGCCCCGTGCCACACGGGGCCTCCCAGGGGAGCAGCGTCGGGGAGACGTTGAAGACTCGGGCTCGGGGGGCTCTCGGGTTGGCCTTACATCGGGCCTGTCCCTTTCCAGGAGGACCAGGCAAAAAACAGTCTGGGGACGATTTCTGGACTATTTTTGAGCATGCTGGGAGTGCCTCTTGACTATTTTTGCTCTTCACCCAAAATCCGCCTGTGGGTGGGCATGCCCGACCTAAGGTTGGCTTGACCTTCCATCATACTGTTTGCGTCGGTTGCGATTCAGGGGTCGTCTGCGCTGGCGGCAAGGCCAAAACGGGGGAGCACCGCTGAAGGGAATTGTGCCACCATGCAGGAGGGGGGGAGGAGGCGGAGGACGCGACCGAAAGAGGGGGCAGAACCGAACCCCATCATACAAATGACGAGGCCCAGTCTGAAATTTGACGCGGGCTCCCGCTGCAAGCATCCCACGAAGACTGGGCCACCAGGACGCGCTCGTCCACCAAAAGAGTCCGCAGATCCGAGCTCCGGCGCACTCGATTCCCCCCTCTCCCCGTACCCCCCTCGCCGCCGACAACTCTTGATCGTCCTGGGGCCCGGGGACGGCCACGGAAGCCCCCACAAACCGAGAACACACACCTCGGGGCTCCCGATTCCCTCCAGACCCGGCTCCTGCCTGGCGAAGGGCTCACTGGATGGAGAAAGCAACCCGAGGCCAGGACGAACCGCCCAGAGCCGACGAGAACCAGCGCCCGAACGCAACGCCCCAGCCTTCGAGCCCGAAAGCCCCTCGAGCCTCGAGGCAGGTCTAGGCTGCGCGCCCGGGGGGGGGAAGTGAGAAGGGGCGGGCCTCGCAATCAACCCGTACAGCAATGATACGCGACGAGGATGCGAGGGCCTTCAACGCCCGTGCGAGAAGCTTTTCGTGCGGGGCGCGGCCTGCGAAAGTAGGGGGCCAAAAAGTGGCATAAACATAAGAACTCGGAGGTCCGCGCGGATTTCTCGGATCGGCGCTGGGGCCCCCTGGCGGCGCCTCCGGCGCCGCCCCTGGCGCGCTCCGCGCGCCAGGGAAGGGGGTCCAGCGCCGATCCGAGAAATCCGTGCGGCCTTGGGAAGGTTGCCCGTCCTTCTCATGCGGGTAGTTCTAGGCTGCGCGCCCCGGGGGGGTAGTGAGAAGGGGCGGGCCTGATCAGAAGGCTCGGAAGATCTCTGGCCCTTAGTGGGCCCTGGAAACGACAGGGCCGCTTTTTACCGGTTCCGTTTTGCCGTTTTTTCGCCGATCCGACGCCGTTTGTTTACCGGTTCCGTCGCCGTTCTTTTACGGGTTCCCGCTCCGGCTCCACTCCTGGAGCCGTTTCTGCTGCCGTTTCCGGTCGCCTCTTTTTTTGCCGTTTCCATGTTCGTGCGTGTTTTTTTCGCCAAGTGGTCAAGGATGCTCCTCGATGGTCCTCGCCGAGGAAAAAACGCACACGTCCGAGCGATGCCAAGTCTTCGGAAACGGTGGAAAAAAACGGCCCTGCCGCCCTGCCGCTTCCGGGGCCCACTGAGCTCTGGCCTCCTCACAGGACCACGGGGCTTCTGAGAAGCCCCGCCGCCTTCTGCGGGGGCCCTCTCCTTCTCGCTTCCCCCCCTGGCTCGCAGCCGCAGTTCGGCGGGGCGAGCCACCTCCGCGCGCGCGCAGGGGGGGCCCACCCACCGACGGACCCAGGCGGGATCGCATCGCGAAATCGGACCGGATGGGAAACAGCTCGGGTCGCGTGTTCGCGCCCGGCTCAAGCTGGCATCGGCCGATGCCAGCGACTCCAACCGCATCGAATGGGATCAGAACAGCGGACCCAGCTCGCGAAGCGATCGCAGCGAATCCCTGTCTGGCCTCCACGGTCTTCTGGACCTGCTGGATCATGGGCACGTGCACCTGCCTCTGTACGGGCACGTCCTCGCGGGCGGCCCCTCGGGTCATCCCTCTTCTCCCGCTCCTGATTCGCCCCCTCGGCGCCGTCCGTCTCCTCCTTCAGGGCTCCCCCAAGGGGCCCAAATCCCTGCGACGCCCAAGGATACGTAAGCACTGACTGCTGCCTGCTCGCCGTTTCGCTCTCCACGGGCCTCTGAGGCCCACAAGGTTGCCCCAGGATGGCCCAAGAGAGCCCCAAGAGGGGCTCAAGAGGCTATTAAGATGGCCACAGGAACGCCTAAGGCAACAAGAGCCCGTTCCCCCCTCTGGCCTGACAGACTTTCAAATCTTCAGCTTCGGCGGGGAGGCCAGGCCAGAGCCTTCGATTAGAGTCCTGGCTTCGGCTCTCTCTCTCTCTCGTTCTGCCTCTGTCTCTCTCTCTGTCTCTCTCTGTCTCTCTCTCTCTCTCTCTCTTCAGGGATCTACTGACCCAGGTCAATCCAGACTGGGGTCAGTCGGGCCTTAGAGGATCCCTCAAGGTCCTGCAGGATCCTGTACCCAAACCCAGGTCAGTGCGCCCCTGGTTCTGCAGGATTCTGCAAAATCCCGAGCACTGACTGAACCCCATTTGCATTGACCCCCCGTTTTTTTTTTTTTTTCTTCTGGAACGCTTCACGTTAACTCCACGGAGGAGGGCAGCGAATGGAACACGGCAGCAGGATATAAGCGGACACGCCCAACACACACACGGACGCTCTTGCCTCCCACCCTACCCTCCTCGAATATCACCCTCCGCCACATCCCCTCCGCAACAACTCCGGGTCTCGAGCGACAGGCCGTGCCGCCGCCGCTGCGAGATGTCCGCGACGCTCAGATGCGATCGACCAGCCGCCCAGCCATCGGCGCTCTGGCAAAGCTCAAATTCTGCGAGATGCAGCCATCTGAGATGCAAAACAAGACGATAGTTAGACAGGGGCGGGGCGGGGGGCGGGGGGGTCAGCCGCCCAGCCGGGTTCCCAAAAAGTCGCCGGCCGCAGCCGCGTAGCCGAGGCGGCAGCCTCCCCCCGCCGCGGCCCCCGCCCAGGGGCCGCTGCCGCTGCGCTGCGGCCCGCGCGCAGAGGGCCCCCACAGGGGGCTCCGCGCGCGGGGCGGGCGCGCCCCGGGCAGGAGGGCCCGCGCCGCGGCCGGGGGAGGGCGAACGGCCGCCCCTCCGGCCGCGGCCCGCCCGAAAGAGGCCGCGGCCGGCGCCGCTCGTCGGCGCCGGAGGAGGAGGAGGAGCAGGAGGAGGGGGAGGGAGAGGATTTTTTGACATCAACCGTGGCAACCAAAGGCGACGACCAGAGGGCGTCGCCTCCTGCTATCTGGCCTGAGGCAGGCTAGCGAGCAGTGACGAGAATCAAGGAGGGCGGGCGCGAAAGCCACGGGGCGATTTCCCGCAGGAAGGGAGGATCCCCTGTGGCTAACCGCCCGCCCCCCCATGGCCCGCGACCTGAGAAGAGTGAGGTCAGGGCGAGACGCAACACACGCGGGAAGCGCATGCTGCATCTCCTAGTCTGAGTCATCAGACCGTGGTGCAGCGACGGCGCCGAGCGGGGCCTCGTCCTCTTCAAGGGCGAGGGCTGCTCGGACGCGACCGAGCGCAGCAACCGAGGATGCAGGCTCGGACAACTGCTGCACAGCCTGCAGAGGGGGACTCTCATCAGGCGTGTCAAACAAAAAACAGGCGGCTTTCCTCTTCCGCATCGAGCGGATCGAATGGGAGAGAGGAGGGGCCAGCAGCATTGACGATGGTAGACGACGACTCAAACGACGGGTCGACGACTCGATCACGCTAGGAGGAGGAGGAGGAGGAGGAAGAGGAGGGGGAGGGGCAGGCGGAGGGCTCGGGCGTGGGGCACCCGGACCGGCCCGGCGGGGGCCACCAGCCGCACGGCGAGAGGCCCACTCTGGAAAACCTGGCGCGAGCTCCCGCTGCAGAGGTCCCAGGAACACTGGGTCGTCGAGGTGCAGGACTCGACTACACGCAAGAGTGACCCTGGGTAACAGTGACCTTTGGTGCGCGGCTTTTTGGGGGCCGCGGGGGGGCCACTGCCGCCTCGCGTTCGGCGATCGGGGGACCCCCATTGGGCCCGCACCAAAGGTAACTCCGGCGAAAGGTCACTCTTACGTCTAGTCGAAGGACGCGCTCGTTAAGAGACGTGGGCAGACCCGGGCTCCTGCTCGCTCGAGTCCTACGCTTCCCCGATGCTTGCGCCCCAGGATGTGCGCCGATCGCGCCGCGCTGCAGCCAGGCGCGATCGCGACGTCTGGACAGATCTGGTTGGGCTAAAAGGGGGTGGTGCAATAGATCTGCGGCCACTGTATTGCACATGCGTTGCGCTCGAGAATTGTTTTGCATTGTATTGCAACTAGTGTATTGCACACGAAAATCCAGCAATCCGCTTGCGCTCCGGAATGTATTGCACTAGAACCGCGCGCGCGCTTCGCGCGCGCTTGGGTTCTAGCGCAGGCCAGGCGTTGTAAGCTGTGCGTGCTTTTCGGACTGGTTCATTCTATGCCTTGCCTTATCGCGTCCTCAAATCCGCCGATCCTGTCGGCGTGTGGAAGACGCTCTTCCTTTCGTCGTCGTCATCGCCGTCGCCGTCGCCGCCCCCCCCTTTTCATGGGCCCTCCTCCTCAAGCGCGCCAGCAAAAGCGAGATTGAGCAACGTTGTAATTGAGTCGAAAGGAGACCCCTTCCCTTTGATCCCTTCCCCGCGGGGGGGGTGTCTCAAGAGGGGTCGAGGGGGGGGGGCGAGGGGGGGGGTCCAGGGGGGTCCCAGGTCAGAAAACCATCCCTCCCGGGGAGTCCCAGGGCAAGAAAAATAAGCAAGACGGGTCAAGAGCGCCCCAAGAGGCCTCCAAGACGGTCCAAGAGGGCCCGAATCGCCGAATTATCGGTCCAAGACAACAAAGATGGCCTCCAGACGGCCCAAGAAGCCTCCAAGACGCCCCAAGAAAGATGCCTCCAAGAGCACTTCCATGAGGGCCCCAAGAGGTAAACATCAATGAAGTCTCTGAGGTGTTTGAGAAGCTTTGATGTTCTCGCCTTCTCGGCTTCCCGAAGCTCCAAGAAGGCCCAAGAGGCCTCCAAGATGGCCCAAGAAGCCTCCAAGAGGGCCCCGAAACGACTGAAGAGGGCCCCCAGACAGCCCACGAGGCTTCCAAGACGGCCCAAGAGGCCCCCAAGACGGCTCCCAGCGCGTGCCCAGACAGGGGACTCGAACGGAGATTTGGAACCCTCGGCCTGAAAGCTTCCCAGGAGGCCCCAAGAGGCCCCCAAGAGGCCTCAAGAGGCCCGTAGAGGCCCCTAAGAGGCCCCCAAGAGGCCCCCAAGAGGCTCCCAGGAAGACCCAAGAGACCCCGAGGAGGCTCCCAAGAGGCCCCCAAGAGGTTCCCAGGAAGACCCAAGAGACCCCGAGGCGGCTCCCAAGAGGCTCCCAAGAGGTTCCCAAGAGGCCCCCAAGAGGCTGTTTCTCCGCACCCCCTCTCCTCCTCCTCCACCTGTTCCATCTCTTTGTCCTTCTCGCATACACGGTCGGCGGCGGCATCGGCCGTAGGGCCTTCACAAAATTTCTGATATGCCCCCGCGCTAATCTTCCAATCTCTCTCGGTTGTCCTGTTTTTGCCGCATCTCGCTCTTATCGACGGCTTGAAACATCATGCGCGCGCTGTCGTGCCAGCTGGCGGAGTACGTGCAGCAGGCATCAAGATCTGGAGAAAGGGGGAGGGAGGGGTCGGGATCGAAGAGCCGGTTGGTCTCTGGAAGGTTCAAGGTTCTTGGGAATTCTTGGGCGGCCTTGGTCTTGGTGCGTCTTGCGGCTCTTTGGGGGCGTTCTTGGGCGGAATTGTTATGAGTTGTCGATGTTCCGGAGGCACGAGGCTTCTCCTGAACGACAACGATGACGGCGACAGTGGCGGCGACGACGAAGTCGACGTTGCGCCCCTCGTCCACATATTCATCCCTCCTCCCTTCGCGCGTCCTGTTCCCTGAGGATGCCTGTGAGGATCTCTTGAAGACCTTTGGTCAAGTTAATTAAAAAAGTTGGAATCCTCCTTAGAGACGTTCGGGGCCTCTTGGGGCTCTTGGGGGGTCTGGAAGGCTTCTTGGAACCTTTATTGGGAGTGCTCTGGGAGGCCTCTTACGTCGTCTTGGAGCGATCGTTCGGCGATTCGGGGCGCTCTTGGGTCATCTTGCGGCCTCTTGAGGCCTTCATGGATCGTGCTGCACACGTCTGGGAGGCTTCGTGGCGCGTCTCAGGGTCCCCCAAACGCCTGCACTGCACACCCACATTTGCGGTTGAGGTTTCGGCCCCGGACCCGGGCCCGGCCCCAGTTATGTATATGCATTGAGTCATACATTTGTCAGGTGGGGGGGCGGCCCGTATAGGCCGCTCTAAGCTGCCTTCAAGAAAACCGTAGGCCCCCAGTAGACATGAAGTTCGCCCAATCCGCCCATTGCGGCACATCCCTCACACGAATCGCGCTCCACAGGGAGCACCCACCCACAGCTCCAGAGACAAGGTTCGCACAACATGCTCCCGCCCATTTCGGGACGCCCCTCCCGCGAATCGTGTACTGGAAACGGAAAGAGCTCCACCTATGGCATCAATGGGCAACTTCGCATGGCGCCCCCCCGCCACTTTCGGCACGTGCCTCATACAGGATATACCCCACAGGGAGGTCCACCTGCTGCGTCAGCGCCCTTCGCCCGGCTCACGGTTTGCTTATCGAAGACGGCTGCGGCGAATCACCGCCGCCCCCTGCCTTTTTGCGGGCGCCTAATTATGTGGCCGAACGTTGAGGCCAGACCTGCCAAGCTATCGGACCATGTGTTCCACGAATCGGTTTGGAAAGCCTTCGGGGAACACGTGGGCATCTTGAAGGTCATCTTGGCCGCCTGGAGGCCATGTTGACCCTTTCGGGCCTTCTTGGAGGACGTCTTGGAGGGCTCTTGGGCTGTCTTGGAGGCCATCTGGAGCGTCTTGGAGGCCTCTTAGGCCGTCTTGGGAGCCTCTTGGGGCCGTCTTGGGCCTCTTGGGCGATCTTTGGGGGCACTCGGGCCGTCTCGGGCTGTCGGAAGGCCGAACAAAAAGCAAATGCCACAATCCTTCACAAACTCATGGGAAATCAATGATTTGGGCCTTTCCGGGCCTTCCTGGAGGCCCTCTCGGAGGCCTCTTGCGCCGTCTTGGGCCATCTTAGTGCCATCTTCGGCCGTCTTGGTGGGCCCCTGGCCCGTCCGACGCCGTCGGAAACCGTTTTGGGGGCCTCTCCGAGCCGACTTGGAGACCATCTTGGACTCCAGTGCTGTCTTGGAGGCCATCTTGGGCGTCTTAAAAACCTCCTGGGCCGTCTTGGGGGCCTCTTGGGGCCGTCTTGGGGGCCTCTTGGGCCGTTCTGGGGCCATCTTGGACGCCTCTTGGTCGATCTTTGGGCGATCTTTGGGGCCTCTTGGGCCGTATCGGGCCGTCGGAAGGCCGAAACGAAGCAAATGCCAAAATCGCTTTAAAAAACCTATGGAAAATCAGTGTTTTGGGTCTTTTCTGGCCTTCTTGGAGGCCCTCTTGGAGGCCTCTTGGGCCGTCGTCGGCCAGCTTCGAGTCAACTTCGGCCATCTTGGTGGGCTCCTGGCCCGTCTGACGCCGTCGGAAGCCGTTTGGGGAGCCTTTCTGGGCCGACCCGGGGCCCTCTTGGGGTGCTCCGGGGCCATCTTGGTGGCCATCTTGGGCGTCTTGGGGACCTCTTGGGTCGTCTTTGTGCCCTCTTGGGGCCGTCTTGGGGGCCTCTTGGGCAGTTCTGAAGCCATCTTGGACGCCTCTTTGGCGCTGTGGGGGCGATCTTGGGGGCCTCTTGGGCCGTCTTGGGTCGTCGGAAAGCCGAGAAGAAGCGAATACCAAAATCCTTCTAAAAACCTACGGCAAAGTAATGATTTTGGCATCTTCGGGCCCTCCTGGAGGACCTCTTGGAGGCCTCTGGGACCGTCTTGGAAGCCTCTGGGGGGCCTCTTGGGCCGTCTTGGGGGCTTCTTGGGCGAACCTGGGCGTATCTGGGACCCTCTTGGGCCGTCTGGGAGGCCGTCTTGGACCATCTTGGGCGAGCTTGAGGGCCATCTTGGCCGTCTTGGAGGCCAACTTGAGCCGTCTTGGAGAAATTTTTGCGGACGTTGAGGTCGTTTGCGGGCCTGGAGCTCCCTCCCGGGACCCCGGCGGGACGCGCCGGAGCCCCAAGGGGAGTTCTGTGGGAAAAAATCAAAACCAAAAACCAAAATCATCTAGCACGCCAGGCACCCGTGCGATGAATCAACTGGGGGCGGCGGATAACGGAAAGAGCGAGGTACGAGCGATGACGTTGTGTGTTGGGCGAAGCAAGGGGGGGGTCCAGGGGGGGGGGCCGTACCGCGCACGGATGAGTGTTAATGGCCGTTTTGGGGGTTTTCCCTCGGGTCATGTTTCTCGGACTTCTCATCTTTTTCGTCCCAGAAGAGCCCAAGACCGCCCAAGACCGTCCAAGACGGCCCAAGAAGCCCCAAGAGGCCCACAAGAGGAGTCCCAAGAGGAGTCCCAAGAGGCCATCAGGAGGCCAAAATCATAGATTTTGTATTGGGAAACAAATATTTCTAGCATATACGGCTTTTCGGCTGCCACGGTGTTGCGGACGGTCCAAGAGGCCCCCAAGACCGCCCCAAGACGGCCCAAGAGGCTCCCAAAACGGCCCAAAAGGGCGCCAAGACGGCCCAAGAGGCGCCCAAGACGGCCCAAGAGGGCCCCAAGACGGCCCCGAGAGGGGGACAACGAACCGAAAAGTCTAGCCTTTCGCCCCAAGAAGCTCCCAGGAGGCCCCCAGAGCCCCCCAAGAAGCCTCAAGAGGCCCCCAAGAGGTTCCCAAGAGGTTCCCAAGAGGCCTCTAAAAGGGCCCGACAAAGGCCCCAATAGGACTCCCAAGAAGGCCCAGAGACGCCAAATAGAGAGCGATCGGTAACGCAAAAAGCTCACCAGGGCTCCCAAGAGCGAACGGTGACGTAAACAAGCTGATAAGACCAAGGCTCCCAGCAGAGAGCGGTAACGCAACAAGTTCCTGACACCAAGGCCCAGCCAAGGCTCAGGAACGGGCGGCAACGCAACAATCTCTGAACACAAAGGCTCCCAAGAGCGAGGGGTGACGTAACAAGCTCTCAACGCCAAGGCTCCCAGTACGAACGGTGGTGTGAGTAATTTCGGTTTCTGTTGCTGCAGCGCTCTTTCCGTTTCTGTGCCGGGCCAGGTCTACTGGCTTTGGGCTCATACCGCCACCGTGCCTGGGCTGTGGGTCAGGGGCTTCTTGGATACGTACCTGCTTGGGTCTCTTGGCATGCTTCTCGGGCCCCTCTTTGGAGCCAGTTTTGAAGCCTCTGGGGGGCTGTTTGGAGGCTTCTTGGGGCCTTTTTTACGCCTCTTGGGGACCTGCTGGCGGTCAATCGGGTCCACTTGGAGTGGAGGGTTCGAAATGTTAGTTTCAGTTCCCCCTCGTGGGCTGCTCTCGGGGCCATCTAGGGCCGTCTTGGGCGCATCTTGGACCGTCCTGGGGCTCTCTTTGGTCATCCTGGGGCTCTCTTGGGGGCCTCTTGGCCCGCTTTGGGGCGATCTTGGGGGCCTCTTGGGCCGTCTTGGACGTTTAAACCTACGAAGCGAATGTACTAACAATATATACTTCTGGAAAGAATTGGGCAATTTTGGCCATCTGGGCCCTCTTGGGGAGCATCTTGGAGCCTTCCCGGGGAGTCTCGGGGACCTCTTGGGAGCTTTTCGGCCGTCTTGAGACCATCCTGAGGCGTCTTGGGCCCTGTTGGGCTGCTCTGGTCGCTCATTTGTGTTCTGCGGAGCTGCTTTGAGCGGCGGGGGGGAGGCCCGGACGGCCCGGGAGGAAGTCAAAACTGTCGTGGGCTAATCCGGGAGGGTGTGCCGGCCCGGGGCCCAGGCCACCGGTACCCCGGCATATCATATACGCCCAAAATCAATTGCAACCCCACAAATCGATTGCACCAGGTGTATTGCACCACGCCCTTGTCGATGGACCCCTTTTGGGGGGCGATTCCAGAAGCGGCGGGAAAAATGGCAACGACCGCTCCGAGATCGTCGGCGGCTTTCGCGAGCCAGCGAGCTGCAAACTCCTTGCTTAGCTCGCCCCGCTCTCTGCGCAAGATGCTCAGGCGCCCTCGTCGAGCAGCCATCGACTCTTCCGTCTGCTGCCCTGGACGGGCATACTGAGGTGTTCAGGCGCCCTGAACGCTCTACCCCCTCTCCCCAAGAGAGGATGAGCTGTATGAATAGGCAAGCGCGCTCCACTAGTCGCAAAGTCACTGCTCGCAAATAGCCTGGATCAGCCGCGAAGGATCTACGATAAATTACATCGAGGCGGACGTGTGCTTTTCGTGTACGTTTGCGAGCAGGCACTTTGCGAGTAGTGGAGCGCGCTCGGTGAATGAAACAAAACCCTGGTACCTCAGCCCAGTTGGCGCCGGGAGCGGCCTTGAATCGCTGTTGGCACGCTCCCCGCCTCATCCTGTCACGGTTCCATATCTCTCTCCCCCCGATTCTGTGCGTACTTCTGCGGTGGCACCGCCAACGGTGCCTTCAAAGAAGCGGCCATGACACACCAGCCCACCAGACGCGCCTGTCCTGGAGGGGCAAACAGCTGCACATATATTTGGTTTGTTGTTCGATGCCCGCAAGACCCTCGCTCTCCGCCCTTCCCAAGGGGCCGTGGCGCTTCCTAAGATGGAAGCTCGTCGCTTCGTTCTGGACGTATTCCCTTGTCATCCTGCGTGCTCCGTTTTGGAACCTCTGGGGGCGCCTTCGGGTCAGACCTCGTCGCTCTGGCTGCCCAGCCCGCCGGTCAGATCCGGAAGCTGCTGCGCCGCGCCGCCGCTCGCGCCGGGGCGGTGCCGCGGACGCATCTGGCGGGCCCCGATCTTCCCCGCGGGCGCGGGGAACGGCACCTGGCTGCCCCGCAAGAAGAGGGCCGGCTTCCAGGCCTCGGGGGCGGATCCTTTCATGACGCTCAGCTTGCGGTAGACAGCGAGGTTGCTCTGCAAGCCCTGCCGGTTGCTCCAGCCCACACTGCACTTCTTCTGACTCTTCACGGGCCACGCTTGGAAGCCCTCCAAGGAGCGGCGGATGCGGACAGCGATGTCTGAGGTGATGGGAACGCCTGATCAGTTCTGAAATCCCTGGGCGTGCGCGTCCAGGAGTTCCACGAGCATGTCCCGCGTGAGCAAGTACGGCACGTTGCGGAACGGCACGCTGGTGCGCCACTCTGCGCCCGAGGACGATGGTGGATGGCCGCGGGGAGCCTCGGGGCCGAGCGGCGGGAGCAGCAGCTCTGGCGCCGAGGAGCTGGGGAACCATCGGAGCGCCCTGCGCGCTCCTCCTCGCACGCCTGGAGGTGGAGGAGCGTGCTCCGGACCGCCAGCCTCCCGCCCCGGCCCGCGAGCTGCGACAGCTCGGCGGCACCCGCGCTCCTGCGGAGCGGCCTGCCACGGGCGGCGGCGGGAGCCGCCTCCAGCGAGGCCTCGGGCGCGGCGCCCATCGGCGGGGCTCCCTGCAGGGGGCAAGACCAAGTTCCCCGACACGGGGGCGAGCGGCAGCTGCTCTGGGCCGAGCTGGCTTGAGCTAGAAAGAATGGCTTGTGCCAGGTAGGCCGCGGTCGTGGACCCCGTCTCTTGAGCCCCGATGTACTTTTTTTGTTCCTCTCTCTCTCTTCCCGGGGTATCCGGAGCATCTCAGCATCCTCGGCCGATGGTGTGCAGCACTATCGAGCCCTGAGCCCTCATCCTTTTAAACGATCGGTGTGCCAGATCTTCGCCCTGAGCTGCACATGTGCACGGAGGGGGGGGAAAGATCGACAGAGAGAGAGGGACATGAACATGCCATGTCGGAGGACCGCGTGCCAACAAGGCGAGCAACAAACTAATGTTTGCGCCCCGACAGCGGGACGCTTA